TCTAAGGTGCTCATCTTTATGGGGAGAGATCACCAGGTCTTCTCCCTCAAAGCCTCTGGGTGAATCTTAACCGCTTCCACCAAGGTGAGCGCTTCACTGTGGAGCCACCTGCACTCCTTGTGAGTGTGAGCAGTGGCCAAGAGTCCTGGGAGATCCCGGAAAGGCCGAGAAGGCGCTGTGTTCAGCAATTCTCTCCGTCACCTGTAGGGGGTGCTGACCATCAGCACAGTGGGGAGCTCCGGCCTCTGCTTCCAGGGTCCTCCTTTAGCCCTAACCCCTTGAGAACCGCGCAGCTATGGAGAGGTAGCCGGGCTCCTCACGAGCGCGGTGGCCTGGGAGACACGAAGTCTCCAGGACTTCTGAGCCCTCCCCATCTCAGAGGGAAAGGTTGGCTCTGGGGGCTGCGACGATGGAGCAAATATTTGGTCAGCGTAAAGAATGGGTGCTCATTTTCCAATTCTCACAGAGTTCTCGCTGCCCAGCGCCTTTGATTAAACACTTCAAATGCCGGGATCGAGTCTCCAGGCATTCCAGGTTCTAAGCGTTTGTCCGTCTCCTGGGGAGCGGAGCCCAGGGTCTAAACAAAGAGACGCTTGATCAATAGAATTCATTCTTTCCCTCCGGGAACAAGACCCAACATCCCAACAGAAAACGCAGAGGAACAGCCAGTTGCTGGTTTCTTTAGGCGGATGTTTACGGGAAAACCAAAGCCCCAAACCTGTTGCCACCAGGTTGGTTCTGACTCCAGTGGGACTGACCCTCTAGGGTGGAGGAGAGCTGCCCCATAGAGTCTCCAAGGCCCCATCTGCCTCCCGGGGAGCAGCCGCTAAGTTTGAGCCACCGTTTTGGGGTGTTTTTTTTTTTTTTTTGGCTAGCAACTGAATGCTTCAGCACAGTACCACCAGGCCTCTGTTTTGACTTATGGAAAGGGCTGAGGACCAGGGCTTGGGGTGACTAAGGTGGGACTTCCAGTACCCACAGGCCGAATCCTGTCTGTATCTGTTTTTTGGGAGTTTCTGTGAATGAAGAAAGAGGTTCACATTGCTAAATGGTCGGAACGATTTTTCCAAAAAGAGAATTTCGTCGACACCTGAACGTGGTCAGGCCTTCAAATGCCAGTGTCCGTACATGAAGTTAGATGGGCACGCTGCCACGCCCACCATGTTCAGCTGGCCATTGGCTTCTTTCCCTCGGCCAAGGCAAAGCAGAGTGGGTGTCCTGGGAGACAGGGTCTGATTGTCCACGAAACCTGAAATCTGTACGCTCTGATCCTTCGGTGAGGGGCTGGGCAGAACTCCAGGGTAAGAGACAAAGGTGTTGGCCTGGCCTGGCCTGGCATGTGGACTACTAACCATACCATAGATGGGCACCAATAAATCATTTTAAAGCAAACACCTCTAACCCCCAAGAAATCAAACAGTGCCAAGCAGCATCCAGAAGGCCATCCTATACCGCTCCCCCACCCCTCCTCTCCCACGTAAATCAGGACCTTGACCTTTGCGATACCATTTTCCTTAGTGTTCTTAAAACACTTCCCATAGAATGGAGCTGTCTCCTAGGCTGAAAAGCCCAACTGATGAGCTGGTGCGGTTCAACCGTCAACCTTTCAGGTGGCAGCCCAATTGTGCGGCCACCAGGCTCCTGAAAGGAACTTTGGCAGAAAGGATTAACTCCGTCACGTAGGTGGGTCTTAGGAGCAAAATGGATGGTTCCCTCTGGAGTGGATGTGTCCAGCCTCCAGACTATAAATAGACACCTGGCCAGGGATCCTCTACTGTCCATGCTTTGTCACCTCCCTGATGGATGCTGTGGCGAGAGGCTGCAGGAATCTCTGGCCTGTCAGCGTCAATGGTCAATCTCGAACTTGACAGTTCTTTAAAGCAGGCCACACACACACACGTTGTTGTGGTGTCAACTACAACACAGGCATCCGATGTGCATCCGAGCAGAGCTGTATTCCTCAGGGTTCTCAGTGGCTGATTTGGGGGAGGGGACTTTTCTTCACATCTCCAGCCTTTGGGTGAGCAGCCCAAGGATGTTCAATATCCTGACTCTGTTTCTCTGGGGAAGTCCAAGACAATAGACCTGTGCATTCTCAGTAGGACCACTGAACACCAGACTCCACTGAATTGTTGAGTTCCTTCCACCAGGAAATCAGGTCATACCTCCACCAGCTGCCTCCTTTTAGGGAGCGAAGAAAGCCCTTCGTGTCTGGTCAGTCAACACCACTTCTGTTTCCACAACCACCACCAACCTGCTGTGGCTGCCTGCCCTGTCCCGTGCACCCGGCCCCAGCCCCCAGTAAGCTGACTAGGAGCATGGCCCTTCTCTTCCTTGGGGATTTGCATTAATTCTTAAGTCCACGAGTGTTCTAAGAATGAGCACCAAGGTATTGCAGAATTCTTTATGATTCCTGTGCTTGGCTTTCATGCTGGCTAGGTGTGAGACTGTCCTGCCCTTTCTCCCAGTGCCCCCAAGAGCCCGCAGCAGCAATGGGTGCTGGGAAGAGAGCTCCTTATAGGCCATGGGTCAGAGTGCTCCCCTCCTCAAAAATGGCTGTCCAGTGGATTTGGACCCATGGAGACCCCTATGTGTAAAAACAGAGCCCCAGTTTTCAATGGCTGGTTATATCTTGAAAATAAGTCAGGACTTCCATTTTCCCACAAACCTTTAGAAGCCACATCACTCTCCAGGCCTTTGGGGGGGGGGGGGACCTGAACCACTGACCTTTTGTGTAGCAGCTGAATTCCTTAACCTTTTGCATCATACCCACTGTCGACTCCTATGTGACCCAATAAAGGGGTTCAGGGACTGTTGATCTTTATAAGGGCAGAAAGCCTCATCGTTCTCCCTCCAAGCCACTGGTGGGTTTGAACCAGTGACCTTGCGATGAGCAGCCCAATGCCTAACCCATAGGGCTTCCACCAGGACGTCAGGACGATGGAGACTACCCTCCCTCCCCACCCCCGGCCCCCTTGCCACCACCACCAGTGGGAAATTGAGGGTGTAAAGGTCAGGGGACTGGCCGCTCCTGAGACTGCCAGTTCACAGACACCCCATTGTCACCTGGGGAAGGAGAAGGGGGAGCATTTTTGAAGCATGATGCATCCCCACCCTGAAAAGCCACAAACCAACCCAGGACCCGAGCACACATTTATCCCGTTTGTGAAGCGGATTAATAGACTAACCAGTAAAACATGTATAAAAGCTTTAATTAAGTCTGATGAAATAAAACTTCATGTTTTATTTATGGACACTCCCAACATGTAGAGGGCGCAGAGAGACGCGCATTCTCGCTGCCATCTCATCCTCTTATCTATAATTACATCCAGGCTGCAGCTCTGGCCCAGAGCGCTGCGGCATTTTAAAGCTGGTCTTGGCCAGTCCCCCGCCCGCCCCTCCCCACCAAGCCCCCCTCATCTGCTTTTAATTAGAGTTACCATCCCCATCACGCGGGAACCTGACAGTAAAACAAAACAGAAATCAGAAAGCAAACAAACACACAGTGGTGTTGTCCTCGGGCTTCGAGTGACGGCCGGAGGAGGTGGCCTGGCTGGCGTGTCCTCTAATTCCAGTTTTATGCAGTGCCCAGTCCCCTTCATTTTAACATCTGACATTAAAAAAGAAGGAAGAGGAGGAGGAGGAGGACTTTGGGAAATACGACAAAATAACTTATGATTATATAAAACATATCTGTGACAAATCACAAAACTATACATATTAATAGGGGGAAAAAGTGTACCTAATTCTTGCAAAGATTTATGAATCAGCACCAGATGTGTGTGCCCCTGGAGTGGATCGGCCCCATGCCCAGGATGATAGACGCGGCGGTCCCTCTACTGAACGTCTGAGAGTCTGTGTGATTTATGGGAAACAGATTTCCACCCCCCTGCCCCCAAAGTGCTTTAAGTTACAACGTAAAAAGGGTGCTCGGCTGTCTGTTCAAAATCACCATCTCCTCTCCCACACTCCCCGCTTGGCCAATGAGGACCCGCTTGCTTTTGGCTTTATCTATTGCAAAATTAAAAACAAACAAACAAAAAAGGAACCCAGAAATTCCAAAAAGTGCTATTAAAAAAGAAAGGCGGCTATAAAATGACATGGTGAAAAAGCCAAAAGACAGACCAGGTCACGAGACGGAATGCAAATAGTCATTCAGTCCGATACCCCTCTCTGGCCACGAGAAAGGCACTAGAATAAACCGAAGGACCAACCCTCTGCCCCTGGGTCGATTCTGACCCATAGTGACCCTACAGGCCAGAGCAGACCAGCACCCTAGGGTCTCTGAGACTCTGAATTGTTACAAGACCAGGCCGCATCCTATTTCTCCGGAGGAGTGAATAGAGTGGGTTCAAACCACTGACCTTCGGGTTAGAAGCCAAATGATTAACCCTCTCTGCCCCGGGACTCCTGGAATTGGGATGGAGCGTATGATCGAACCCCTATTCAAAACTGGTCTCGGCAAATGAGTGTGTGCTAACGGCTGGTAATTTAAAAACAACAGAATGGGAACCAATCCTCCTTCATCTGCACAGAACAATGCTGGGATCCACGAGCAACACCCGCCCCTCAACTTTAGGGCCCCACCCCCAGGTCAATGTGGCGGAGATATGAGTAAGGGGCGATCCCCACAGGACTAGCAGCTACAGCGGATAGTATTCCACAGCTGAGCGGCAGGTAAATTCCAATGGGGCACGTTGTTGCAATCCCTCTCGGGAGATGAGGGAAAGCCACCAACGCAGTGTGTGTGGACAGACTGGGGGCTCACTTCATTATTAAGTGTAATGGGATAATTCACTTGGGGTTCAGTGTGTTTTCCAGGCCTCCGATTATTTTTATTTATTTTTATAATGAAAGGCGGTGGGGGGGGGGGTCGGGGGTGCTGACCATCTCTGCTGAGATATGTATGATGATGGATACACATGGAAATGAAAAAGGACAAGAAATGGAAGGGAAGAGGGAAGGACTTTGGGGGGAGGGTGTCCCACTCCCCACTCTTATAACTCCAAAGATAATGGTCAAGCGTGTACACACACACACACATACACACACACACACACACACACATCCACTACAATGTGAAAGGAAGCAAGGGGCGATTTTAAAGGGTAGAGGAGTGCCTAGAATGAAGGCCCCAGATGGGGACCCCTGGCCCTGACTGGTGGGGTGCACGGAGGGATGCCAGAGGCCACCTGGCCTTGGCCACACTGGCCTCTGGTTCCCAATGCCCCCTGAGAATTCCTGCTTTTCAAGGAGGGCACCCAGGCTTCTGGACTTCTCCCACATGCCCCAGCTTCAAGAAGCTTAAAAGTTTCCTAAGCTTCGGGTTTCAGGGGGAGGCCTCCCATCGAACACAGACACCTCCTTCAGCCTTCGAGAGACACGGCATCGGAGGGCTTCCTTCTTGGCCTGTCCTCCCACAATGTCAACCCAGCCAAGGCCCACCACCGCCATCTCAACCTTGAGTGTCCTCTCATCGCCTCGCACAAAGGATATAAATCTCCGTGGCCTTTGTCCCAAAGGGTTCTGGACTGAAGAACAGAGGGATGGCCTCTCTCAAGTCACCGGGGTGTGTCTTTACCTTTCTTCCCAGGGTGCCAGGGAGGGTGAGAGGGGTGGGGGTGGGGTGTGATTGGCACACCAGTGTCAGTGGGCTTTGTGATCTTGTCTGGTCAAGGGACAAGGCCCACAGGGGCAGCCGGCCAATAGGATCCGGCGCTGGGTCTGAGCCATCCTTGCTAAAGGCGGCCTGGCGCGGGTCCTTTTGCGAGGGGAGCACTCCCTCTCTTTGGCAGATGTGGGCATCTGAAGGAGGGCTTTTCCTCCAAGCAGGGCCCCCTCCCCAGAAAAACCAACCTGCCCTTGACTGAGTGCACTGTACCGACATGACCAGCCTGGTTCTCAGTCCATCTTATTCCACGGTAGGCGGCAGACTAGATTGCAAGCCTCCGGGGAGGCCAGGTCTGTCCTAAGCCACCCTGACTCCACGTCGCTGAATTACCTTGTAGATGATCATGCGCTCTGGCTGACAGAGAGCATCGTGTTATTTGGGGGCCAGAAAACATTTTTGGTTTTTTTTTCAAAGAGAAATGAAGGAAACCACCCCTGGATGCCAGCCTTCCTCAGCCCTGTGGGGTTTGGCCAGTCCTGATGGCCTCCGCAACCGACGGCCACGACGTCAGTGCCGACTCACAGCGGCAGAACCGTCCCCGTGAACTTGCGAGACTGGCACTTTGCATGGGAGTAGAAAGCCGTCTGCCTCCCGTGGAGCGGCAGGCGGTTTCGGACTGCTGACCTTGTGGCTAACGGTCCAGATGGTAACCACGATGCCGCCAGGGTGCCTTTTTTGGACACCCTAAGATCTTTTCATCGCTTCCTAAACCAGTCACAGAAAGCAACTTCCCATTCAGCCTTGGCCTCAATACCTCCAACTGATGGTAAGAATCCCTAAACAGGCCACCCACAGGAGGTCCCGCCAGCCCCGGTGTCCACCTCATCGCCCTCGCGACCCAAGGACATCCTTGGAGTGCCCACAGGTACTGTCCCCTCTACCTGTCTTAGGCCAGAGTCCCAAGAGTTGACGGCCAGGCAGTCAGAAGAGGATGGGAAGAGATAAGGTGAGCAGGGGCTGGACAGACAGAGGTGAACATCTATGCAGAAGGCAGTAAGCAGAGGCTTGGGAACAACTAGACATGTGACCTCCTTCACATGTCCCCCTCACACACAACTCAGTGCGTGCCTCGCTCTAGAACCGCAGAGCGCCCGAGCAGAGCCCATGGGTGAAAAGTGGCAGGGGACCATTTCCTTTCAACAAGGCCTTCGACTTCAGAATTCCCCAAACACGCCACCCACAGGAGTTCCTGCCAGCCCTGGGGAGGGGCCGGTGCCCACCTCATTGCCCTCAGGTAGTCTTTGCGCACGGCCCAAGGGCATTCCTGGAGTGCCCACAGGCCCTGGAGTGCGACAGCTGAGGCAGCGTGGATGCAGCTAGGGAGATGAAGAAGCTAATGATTACTCCCATCCAAGGGGCACATCCCTACGCGATTTTCTCCTTAAGTCGATAGAAATAGCAAATCTTTCAGAGGAAAGAACGGACCCAGGCGGCTGGATCAGAAAACGAGTCGGAGTGCCCTTCCAGGGACTGGGCTTGACAGCGCTTCATGGGGAAGCTGGAGCAGCGAGTGGTTAGCATCGGGGCTAATCTGAGAGGAGAGGGGCAGCCAGCCCCGGGGAATGGTAGGCCAGAAAGGGGCGGGAACTCAAGCGTTGAGCCCACACTGTGTCTGGACACCGATTTCTCTAGTGCCTGCACTGCCCCGGGCCAGCAGCGAGGGAGCGGACTGAGGGTGCCCTGCCTTCTTTGGGCTTTCCCGCAAGGTGGATCCCCCCGATGACATCTTCATATACGCGTGTCATTTCACTGGTCTCCCTTGAGGGCTGGCGGTCAGCAAGGAACAGGGAGCCCACAGAGAGCAAGGCTCTGAAGTCCCTTTGGAGAAACAGTCCTGCCGGCCGCCTGGCCCAGCAGACCCAGGGAGAAGGAAGAGCTACTGGAGACATCCGGGCCGAGCCTCACTCCAACCGCGGGTCCTGCCTTCAACGGCCCAGCGGTGGCGCTGCCCATTCCGTTGGCATCCTTCGTGGAGTCCACCAGAGTGTGGAAACCAAAGGGGACGGTGACAGAAGGGTTCTGGGTGCCCGGGAAGGCCAGGGGAGACTCGGTTAGCCTTCGGTATAGACAGAAGAGAGTTGGCTAGGGCAGCGGTCCACTGCACTGATCTGCAAGAACGTGGGGTCTTCTGGCCCGCCGCCAAGGGGCTCCCCAAAGAGGCTGGAAGAGCCCGAAGGCAAATCGTACACTGGAAGAGAAAGACAAGATGTCAGGGTCCCCCGTGGCCGCCCACTGGGCCCCCAGGGCCTACCGCGCATTCACCAAAACTGACCGGGGCCAAGGAGGAACTATGGTTGGGTTGTACCCTTTAACCGGTTGCTGCCTTCAAGGATACTGGTGGGGGAGGAGCCTGGCTTGCAGGTGGCTGGCTCAAATTCAGTGGGACACAGAACTGGGCTGAGGAGGTACAAGTACGTGTTCTAGGGGAAGATGGAGATTCCTTCAAATGGGAGGTGATGGTCGAGTTGGGTGGTAAAGAAGAGGATGAGATTCTCCTAGATGGAGAGAACATTCTAGAAGGGAAACAGAGAGGAGACATATGTGGAGCGGGGGGTGGGGGAGCGTGTGTCGACCATGGGTTTTCAGTCTGCAGCGTGGGACCCAAGTCTAACTCGGGGGACTTTGAATACTACGCTGAGGCAAGCAGATGTTATGGAAACGCTTTGGGCATGAGAATGGCGTGTTTCCCCTTCCTGTGCTGAGAGGCAATGCTCACAGTGCCATGAGGTCGGGATGGTGAAGGTGAGGGGGCATGCCAGGAGACCTGCCAGCCAGAAGGCTCTTGACCTATTCTGGGAGAACCACGATGCTGCCCACCCTAGGCTGGTCGGGGGCGAGCTGGAGGACGACTGGGCAGGAAGGAGGGGAAGAGAGCCATTTCCGGGGGGACATTTGCTAGGACTTCACGTGGTCACGGGCTGGGTCAAAACTAGCTCAGGCTTGTCTGCCCTGCCCGTCTGGCCCACACACCTGTAATGCCCGAGTGAGTCGAGAAGGCTCTGTGGAGCACGTCAAAACCAGCCTGGCCCACGGACGTGGGGACCAGGCAGTCCTCGAAGGAGGGCACCACGCTGCAGGAGCTGCCGGGCGGCACGGTCCTCTGGGAGTCCGGGTAGTGCGGAGGGCAGAGGGACTGCAATTGGCCATAAAATCCTGGAACGCAAGCAAGGCATTAAACTACTGTAGAGCAGAAGTCCACCCCCCATCTGTCAGTCCGCCGGCCATGGTGGCTAGTCTCCTGCTGTGACGCTGGAAGCGATGCACTATCGCATTTCCCATCCTAACAGGTGGAGCGGTTTCAGTGGAGCTTGCAGACAGACTAGAACCAAGGGCCTGCTGGTCCGTACAACCCTCACTGAAAGCAACCAGACACTGCCTGACATCATCCTGGGAAAGGAGTCCTCCGGGACGGGAGGTGCTGCCAATGGGTCTGGGAACAGAGACGGCTTCACCAACGTGAGTGGAGATGTCATTTTAGGGTCCTCGTGAGCGGCTTTTGCACGAGGTAAAAGGAGCAGCAGCAGCGAAAACACCCATGGATAATCAGAACGTGAACTGTACCGGGCAAGAATCTAGGAAAACTGGAAGTTGTCAAAAAGCGAAACAGGACGCTTAGAGGTTGCTGTCCTAGGCATCTGTGAACGGAAATGGACTGGCGTTGTCATTTTGAGTCAGACAATCAGGAACGACAGGTGGAACAGGTATATCACGGCACTCCTCATCAATAAGAATGCTCCAAGATCTCCCTGAAGTACAACACTGCCAGTGACAGTGTAAGATCCGTCCTCAAACAGGTGATCAGCCAATACAACTCGTCAATGTACGCACCCACAACGAATTAATGGAGATTCCTAACCATTTCTAGTCTGAAGATGACTGGGCATGCCACCTTGATAGACAATTACTTGTGACTGGAATGCAGAATTGAGAAAAAGAAGGATCGGTACTTGGAAGCTATGGCCTCGGTGGCAAAAGTGGCACCAGATCGCATGCTTGAATTTTGAAAGATCAACGACGTGACTGGAGCCCTGGTGGCATAGTGGGTTAGGCACTGGGGTGCTACCCACAAGGTCAGCAGTTTGAATTCACCAGCCGCTCCTTGGGCGAGAGATGAGGCTTTGTACTCCTGTATAACAGTTACAGTCTCAGAAACTCAGAGGCAGCTCTACTCTGTCCTTTGGGCTGCTCTAGTCAGAACTGACTCAATGGCAGTGAGTGAGTGAGCAGGAAATGACCTTTTCATTGGAAACACTGTGTTTCTCAACAACAAAATGGCAATTGTACATGCGGACATCAGAGGGGACTCACAGGAGTCCAATCGACCATATTTGTGGAAGAGATTATGGATAAGCACAATATGATTAGTTAGAACAACACCAGGGGCCAACGGCGGAACAGACCAACCATTATGTACATGCTAACTGAAAGTGAAAAAAAAAAAGAAAACAATTACAAGAGAGCTAACGTATGACCCTGAGTATATCCAATCTAACTTTATAGCATGTATCAATTATAGATTGGACACACTGACCACTAACGAACACAGACCAGACTAGTTATGGGATGACACTAAGGATATCATACATAATGAAAGAAAGTCCCTAAAAAGACAAGTTAGAAAGAGATGACCAAAATAGATGACAGAAAGCTGTCGTTTACTCTTGAACACAGAGTGGCTGCAGAGGGTGGATGAAATGAAGAAGTAAAAGCATGGAGCAGAATGGGCTGAAAATGACAGAGCAGAAATGACAAAGCGCCATCATGAAATGTGCTCTGGAGTTAAGAAGTCAACAGGGAAGAGCACAGGCATTTCTCAGCTGAAAGAACTGAAGAAAACACCAAGCCCAAGTTGCAATACTAAAGAACTCTAGGGCAAACTATTGGCTGTCTCAGGGACTGCCAAGAGAAGATGAAAGGAGTAGATCATTTGAATCTTCCTGCTGCCCCTTGGGAGAACGATGGGGCAGCAATGTTTCTGTAAAGATTCCAAACCAAACGTGATGCCATCCAGTTGATGCTGCCTTGAAGTGATTACACGCTTGGGCATCCTACGGGCAGTTTTACTGTCCGGTACGTTGAATGGACAGAATAGCCAGAGGTTTGGGCGTGGCAGTGGGTTATGCATTGAGCCGCTAAACACAAGGTCAGCAGCTGGGAACCGCTTTGGGATAAAGAGGAGCATTCTTGCTTCCGTAAAGATTTATAGCTTCAGAACCCCACAGGGGCAGGTCTACTCTGCGCTAGAGAGGCACTCTGAGTCAGAATCAACTTGATGGCAGTGGGTTTTATTTTATTTTATTGTGTTATTATTAAGATTAAATTATATACATACATTACTCAATAATATAATTAAATATACAATAATCGTTGTTGTTGTTAGGGGCCATCAACTCAGTTCGGATTCATCTAAGTATAATAGATTGAACCTCACAATGGCTTCAATGTGTGAGCCCATTGCTGCAGTCACTCTGTCCATCTGGTCGGAGGTCTTCCTGTTTCTCTGCCCCTCTACTCAACAGTCCAATCCAATAATTAATGTTTCTGTAGCACACGCTATTTTACTAATAAACTCGAAACGCTATCTATGAGTTTGCTCAACCAATGAAAGTTGAGATATTACACAATGGCAATGTTGTTCTCAAAAATAAAGTTTATTCAAGGAAATGAAAGCTTTTCAAAAAGTGTCACAAGTCCTTCAATAAAACGTGAAGACAAGAAGAGACGCAGCAACACGAAGCTGGTGTACTCAGGTCTGAGAAAGAATTCTCTGGAACATTCTTGGCCCTTTGGGGATCCAGAGCTTCTATGCCTCATGCCCAGGTTGGCTTCAAGACCCAGTGCTCTTGGACGCACATTCCAGTGGGGACCGAGGGACAACAGGTTGAGTGATGGGATGTAGAACTCGGCCATTCTTGGAGAGTTCTTGACTTAGGGAGCTGGGGGCCAGGCCGGTGGACACCTGGCCTATGTGCCGGCGAGAAGACAGAACCAAGAACCACATGGTTGATCTACTGGGATGCAACACCTCTTCACTGAGTGGACAACGGCTCGCGTTTCCCTGGGCTGGCTCTGCTCCCGCTGGTGCCCCGTCAGTTCTCCCCAGGACAGTACTCCTCAGGGTCACATTCCCGTTCCAGGAGGCACCCTCACCGAGCTCCCACCACACGCCCCCAACAGGGACACACACCCACGCGCTCCTGGCACGATGATGGAGAATGTCACCGGTCTTCTGTGGACACGAGTTCATTCTCCCCTTTCTCCCTGCCTCATGCTCCCGAGAAGGAGCAGGGATATCTTGGGATAAAAAAAAAACAAAAAAACACCCCAGCATTTGGATGCCGTGATGGAGGACATGCTCCCAGTGCAGGCCAGTCTCCAAGGCCTCACACCGGGCTCTGTCCCCCGTCCTCAGGCTGTCTGGGTCTGTCTGAGCAAGCAGGCAGAGGGGACTGTCTTGGCTGAAATAAGTCAGAACCAGGTTGGCCCTGGGACTGAGAGTTACCCCTCTCCCACCAACTCCGAACAAGAAAAGCCCCCTTTCAGAGACCTCCCTCCAGGGAGCCAGCTGCACGAGATGCCAACCACACTGGTGGGGTGGGCTGGGGTCCTTGGACAGAGTTCTAACCAGTGTGCTCCCCAGAAAAAGACCCCACCAGCATCGTGCAGCACGTGCAGACCCAGAGGCAGCCGGCTCCTTTCCTGATGCACGCACAGCTCCTGTCCCTGCAGAGACCGGACTCCAAGCAGCAAACTGGGAAATAACATTCCCTCTTGAATGCAAAGCAAAATGAGGCCAGATGTCCACGTGGTGTAGGGACCTAACACACAGAAGCGACAGCAAGGTCAGTCAATCAAGCCATGAGTCGATTTGTTTTTTCCAACTAAGAGTTCTTTTGTGCTTTCAGGGTGCTGCTGGGGACACCTGCGAGGCACCGAGAATGCAATTCGGAAGTGAACACAGACATTTCTAATGACACACGAATGCACCTATACATCGATGTTGACAATTGATATCAGCTGTCACGTTTAACTCTAAGACCTTTCTCACACCCGCGTCCTCCTTGCCGTATTAGAAAGTCTTTTGCCTCCAAGAGTGAAGAAGAAATTTGCAGATACACTGATTCGACCTCAAGTGTGCTACCCAATGCCGTCTGTCAGTTGCTGTGACGCTGGAAGCGACTGCTGTGTCAGATACCGGCATGGCCACCCATGGTGGGGAGGCTTCAGCTGAGCTTCCCGACTAAGCCTCAACAGAAGGGCCTGGTGACGTACTGCTGAAAATCAGCCAAGGAAGTCCAAGGAGGCGCAACAGCCACGCCCGATGGTGTGCTGGAAGCTAAGCCCCAAGACAGCTGTGGTCGTGAACTCGTCCTAGGACCGGTCTGTTGTGCAGGTGGCCAGCAGACAGCGATGACCACCTCGATGGTACCTCCTGCAGGTTAAGGAGAATCCTCCTTCCACGTCTCCCTTTTGGAAACTGTACTGTCTCTCTAAAAACAAACAGTTCTTTTGGGAGGTTTCGATGTTGCTTCCAGAAGCAGGGGAGGAAGACAGCACAGCCACCACGATCCTCCTGCTTTCTGCAGACAGGGGGTGGCTCCTAGCACAGCCGGCCCTCCGGTTTCCGTGCCACAGGATGGCGGCGCCACAAGTCCGGGTAGACGGTTTGGCCAGCTCTTCACACGCATGGGCGAGACTTACACCCCCAGGTTGATGTGCCACACGCTGGGTACTTACTGGGCTCCTTTATGTAACAGAGAGCTTTGCCAAACTCACGTGCTTCTTTGTGACCAAGGTGGGGAGCCGCCGCCTGACTCTGGGCCCCTGGAAAATCACTGGCAGCACCGAGACTGGCCCCTTCCTTGTGGCAGGCTCGGAGCACAGCTAAAGTCACGCGGGCACGGTCCACATTTCAGACACTCCAAAGCATCTCGTTAGAGAGCAACGTACCAAATTAATTAGTACAGTTGATGAAGCCATCTCATCCCTAGAAAATTCTACAACCAGACTACAAAGGAATGGGAAATCGGTCCGTATTTTGTTCCTTAACCACGTTTCTGTTCTAACCATTACTCTATTTCTACCCGTGATACCAACAGCTGGATCTGATTAGAATCCTGCATGACCCACTTGCATAAGAATACTCTCGCTTC